GCTGCAGTCATGTGAAAGCCAGCAACAGGGATGAACAAAAGGATGATTATATCACATTAAATCATTCCCAGCTTAATAAAATAGTTTAATCAGCACTCATTGTTTAGTTAAGGCTAAATATAAAATTCTTAATTACTATTAAGGGATAAATCAGGTTGCTGGTTCTGGCAGTGTAGCATAAAGCCAAGAGCTTTTTATGCCTTAATATATAGTTGTTTACTACTACTAACCCAATCAATAGTCTACTGTGCTGGGTTTGTGTATCTATTAGTTTCAAATTACCCTTTCAAAAAGCAGAGGCAAATACATCTAGCAAGCAATCAGCATTAAAATACATCACTCTACTTGGTCAGCTTTACAGCCATACATACAATCAACTGCGAAGTGCTTGGGAGTTCATTTTGGCAACTACCCAAAGATAGTTATCAAAAAGTCTCCACTAACCTTGCAGCTGAAGTATTTTCTCAAGCATCGTTTTTGTGTGCTTCAGTCTCCTGTGATCCCAGTGCTTTTGTAGTCTGAATCTAAGGTACATCCCTGGGACCTTCAAAGGCACAACTTCCCCCTCCCAGTAACACCTTCCAGAAGCCACCAGGGCATGAGACACCCATCTTGGGAGATGCTGGCAACAACATACTCAATGGTAGGCAACTGCTACACAATGTGAGACCTGACAGCTGCTAATTGTAAGGTCGGGTCATGAGGCTAAAAAGCACCCCAGACATTCTTGCACTCACTTGCTTTTTTGGGGGGGGAGTGGGAGGGGAAGGATTCAATTCCATATAGCAAGTTAATTTTCAGGTGTTTCCATCTGTAACTGGCCCAAAGACAGACCCCACGGTGCCCAAATGACTCGACAGATTGCTTAATGACTGCACCAGAAAGCTGTGGCTGCTTGAGAACGCACTCGCTTGGCAGAACAGGTGCAAGATCAGCAGCATAAGGCTATCAATTCATCTCCCCTCAATATCAGAGGTGCAAAACAGGACAACTGAGATCCAGGTCACCTGGACATCTGATGACATTCATCTTCATGGAGACAGCAGTACTCTACTGAAATCAAGACTGGAGTACCTAATGCACCTTTCCTTTTCCTGGCCTACGCACAAGTTTTACTCTTGTACTTTTGAGCACTTTCTACATAGGGAAAGTGTGTCACATCTCTCTGAACGCAGATGCAGGATCGAGATTCCTTATACTGGATTATTTGCCAGTGATCACTTCCCTTTTCCCATCTCTGAAAACGCCTTACAGATGACTGTTTCTCTTCTTTAAAAGATGCCCAAAATACAGAGTAGTGGTATCAAATCTGCTTGCCTAGTTATGCTCTTAAGGTTAACTTACCCCAAAGACTAAGTTAGAGGTATTATTTTCTATCATTGTCTACCTGCCAAGTGAGGCAGTAAAGCTGTAAAATTCAGCTAAGAGAAGAAAACGAAGGATTCTTCCACTCAGCCTGTCTAACCAAGTTTTTACCTTGTTTTCAAGTCCAGGAATAGCAATGACCTTTGAGCGTAGTGAGGAAGAGAAACTGCTAGCCAGCCTACTTGTAATAAGCAGCTATCAGTATGCTTAACCAAGATATGGTTAACCAAAAAAACAAAGGTAATTGCAGAGCATGTGGCATCATGGGACTCGCTCACTATAAATGTTAAACCTGCAGACAAACAACTGAAAAAGTTTCTAGAGACAGACGCCAAAGTTTTGGCCTGTTTAACATTCAAGTCAAAAAGAAACCTGTGAAACAGTTAGCAGCCATTTATTCCAGAAGATTAAAATGGCAACAGCTCAGCGTAATACAAATTACAATCAAAAGCTATTTTCCTTAATTTTTCTCCCCTATCAAGCATTTGAAGAAGTAGAAACTGACTTAAGTCTACAAAATACCTTTTTTTTTTTTGTCTTCCTTAAGTGTGGGACACTGTAGCTTACAGAAATAATTGTATTAAGAAGAGCTTACTTTAAAAAGAATGAAGGTTAAGGTTGAAGCTTGCTAGACAGAACAAGCAAACCCACACGGCCGGATTCTTTGACTTCAAAGCACGACTGCCCACAACTTGAAGTAATCAAGAGAGAAGCGGAAGCCACTATAAGCCGACCAGAAGATGCGAGTTTTTCCATAGTAGATGCATTATTCACAAGGAAAGCCCTATAGCTGAGAAGGTTCCACAGGAATTACTTGTCATTAGATGTCTTTGTAAACTGTCCTCCCAGCCTAGCTATGTCGATTCCCCTCTTCCCCACCACACTCCCCATTTTCTCCCGTCACTCCCACTAAGCCACCAAGTCTACCCTGCTGCTTCAGCTACCTGACAGCTAAGTTCACCCTTTTTTCATTCCACATGTAATAAAACTGGCAATTAAAAGGAACAACTTTCAAGAGAGGAAAAAAAAATCACCCCCTTGGCCCCAAATGCCTGCTGAGCACACGCAGCTCCAGTCCAGAGCACAGCTTGGGCACATGGGCTAAATAAACCCTGCGCAGGGAAGGCAGGGACAAGGCAGGTGCACAGAAGATAAGGAATTTAGGTCCCAAGTTAGGTGAGGTGGTGTACATGCTAACAATTGCAGAAGCTTTAAACTGGTTGGAGTATAAGAAAAAACTAAGGGCAAGAGGTACCTCAGGTAGAAAACCCTATCAAAATGCTGTTACAGAGGACTAACACACTATGTTCTCATGTCTTTTGGAAAGATCTTTAAAGGAAAAAGCCATCCCTACTGTAAGAAGAGATCCTACTTTGTTGGAAGTCAATACAGCCTAGCCTAGCACACTCAACATGGAAAACTTCGACCTGTGTGGTTGGACTGCCAGTAACAAACAACTTGGAGACACAGACAGCTGAAGCCAAACACAGCCAAAAAGGTCAGTCAGGCCCTGTAATCTGTTTAAACATGGCCATCAGCAGATGCTCAGGTAGGAACACAAACAGAGCATTTTACTGTTCCTCCAAACTTGTGACCTCTAATTGTTTTTAGCTCAGGAGGTTCCTTAGAAGAACTGGGAAACTGACTTGAACACTACAACATAGGAACATTACTGCTGAGCAAGGAAAAGCATCTCTTACAAAGAAACCCTATCAAACGATAAAATAGATACTTGCATCACGTTTGCAGGATTCCCTGCATGAATTTGGGTAAAACACAGGCCTTTCAAGTTAGAGAACACATTTCAACCTGCTGTTGTAGTTAGATTTCCTTTATCTGACGCTTTTTGCTATTTTAAGTTTCCTCGCCTCATTTCAGTAGTTCTGAAATAGTTTCTCAGTTCCCCTATAGGTTACCATGGTATCCTTGTCCTAGAATATCTCATTTTGGACTCCAGAAAGTTGAAAAATGCAGCGGAGCTTTACAACTTGCTGCAGCAGTACCACACAGGTTGCATTTATTCTCTGTACACTGACTCCTTATTGTTCTCATTCTTTACTGCTATCAATTTCAAAATTTTTTTTTTCCCTAAACTGGAGATGTAATGTTCACAAATTATACATTAGTTGAAAGAAAAACCTTAGGATCAGACTTGACAGCATTTAAAAAACAATTCAATTCAAGGCTGCAACATCTTTACTTTCCCCCTTACACTGAGGCAAGGAGTTCAGGAAGCTGATGTGTCCAGAAACCAACCTGTAGCTTAAAGCTTCATTTTCAGCCTGAGCATGCTCAACACTGAGGAGCACACAGCTATACAAGGGTCAACGCTGTACAAACTGGGGCAGAAATGCATGACTGCAGCCACCTGATTCCTGATCAACCCAAATTCAAGAGCTTCTCATACAGTACTTTACAGAAAAAGCACTGAAAAGCAGTGTCCCCAGCTATGGCAGGTTTAAAAAGATTTAATCTCACTGAACAAACGGAGAGAAGAAATGGCATAATAACTAACAGTACATTAATCTCAGAACTGAGTAACTTGAGCAAAGTATCTTGAAAGCAACCCATAAAGCTGTGTTGTCTGTACAACATCCAAGTCTGAAATACCCTCCTAACTTTATGTCAAGATCACTTTTCAAGGCAGTTAGTGAATCAGTCAGCACAACTTTACTGGCATTCAAAAGATGAATGATTGAAAACTAATATATACATATTTTTACAGCACTTCAAAACCACATCTGTAAGTGATTTTTGCATTCAGATATGGCAATAAGGAAGAGAACAGACTTCCGTGAGAATGGTTTTGCCTTTACTTGCAATTAAAATTGTTATCCTATAAATTCTATTTTCCATGAAATTCACATACATGGGTGACATCTTGTTGTGGCAGATCAGAGTTCGCGTACTCTTCTCAAACTGCTTGAAGTACTTTGTTCTGTTCTTAGGCTAAAGTGCTCATATCAGGAGTGGGCAGCCCTATACTACTGCAGCACTTCAGTTACACCATGTTTCCTCATGTCAACAAGCACTCAAGTCACCTGTAACTACAGAGCTCCTCCTAAGCTTCACTAAGTTTCTGAGAAGCAGATTTGACAGCACCTAGGTGCAATGAAAGGTATGTATTTTGTGACCAGCCACGTGTAGAAGTGAGATTTCTGGCCTCCCCAAAGCCCTGCAAATGAACAAGGGCCTCCCCAAACACCCATAGGAGTAAGCTTCACTTCCAAGGCAGGGTCACTTCCCCAATCCACTTTAGAGCAAGCCCTTCCCCACTTCTGCTGGCAAATGCGGAGCAAGGAAAAAGACATGTCAGACAGGTAGCAGCAGAATAGCTGAAACTCATCTTGCTGCCCATTTCTTTGCAACTTGAAACCCTGACCTAATCTCGAGCAGCAGAACTCAGCTTTACCGGTTACTCAGCAACATAATCCGTCTGACTAAGGGATCAGCTTCCAGCTGCTTCTCAGCAGCCAGGCCTCCAAGTCTCAGAGAACCTCTGGGCTCTACATACAGACACGACAAGGTTCCTTCTTGACAAGCACCAGTTACCTTGTAGCCTTCTTTGTCTAAAGATACTTTGACACCCCCTTCTCCCTCCCACCCCAAACAAAACAAAAACAAAACCCAAACCATACATCTTTGAAGATAACTTTATTTCAAAATATTTACATTTGCAGGACTGGTTCCACTGAAGTGCTTTAGCACTAGATCACATTGCAGTGTGCTGTGAAATCAGTATCTGGACAAAGCCAGCACATCTTTCTTCAAGCTGGAATAAATGGAGAAAGCCACCTAATTAAAATAAGCTTCATAAGTGTTCTACAAACAACACTTAAGAGAAAAACAACAAGAAAAAAAACACCACACATCAACCCATGGCCAATGAACTCTTATCTACAAATAAAATATTTAAAACATGCCTTCAAATTCCACCTAGAGATGTGTGTCTCTATATATGTCTCACACGTGTGTGCAGATATATACAAGCATACATACATATACATGAAGTTTCTGAAGAAGTCTGCCACTTTTTTGTAGGGATCAGTGACTTGAGAGCTTGTGCACCACTGAATTAACTGTGGTGACTCAAAGGAAGATGTAGCCACCAGTTTAAATCCTCAAAGTAAACTTAGCATGGTGAGAGTAAGCTACAGAGGATATTTTCTCAAGTGTCTAAACACGAGTATTACTAGTTCGGAAAGAAAGCCTCTTCTAAACATAGCAAAACACAAAACAGGTTTTGATTCACAACATGTTAGCCTGATGTGAAGCAGGTTCAGCCCTCAGCCCAGTTTGAGCAACTATCTGCCTGTTGAACACGTTCACACTGACTGAGATCAGTAATGCCACGGGTGCTGAAAAAACAGGAATCCAGGTTTCCCACTAAAAACCAGCTGGTAATTGACTGACTTCAGCATCTAAAGAGGCATGAGTTAAGACTGCAGCTTCATCCCTGGCTGACAGCTGAACTCCTGCAGCTTCGCACAGCTTTCAGACTTCCACTGCTGGCAAACAGTTTGTCAAAAAAGATCCCAAGGTTAAGGCAAGCTGGATACGCAATGACTGCAAAAAGCTGCTTTTCCTGTGGAAACAGGAATAACAAGGCATTTGTGTTCAGTAAGTTCTCAGTCCTGATCTCAGTCCTACCACAATGACCTAACATTCAATTATTTTTCTTTACATTGACATGAACTTAAACCTCTGCAGAATCCCATAGGGGCCTGCAGGGACACAACACAAGCAGATGCTGTCTCTGTAGACACATTATAACCAAGGAGACTTGGGACTCCTCAAAGAGGGCCATGGTGGAAGCTATTTATAGGTCGTGGAGCTGATATGCTCCTTCCTAGACCACACAGATGATGTCCTAATGCCAAGAAAATGCTGAGGCAGAACTAAGCAGGCCACCATGCTGTGTCAGTTATTCCTCCTGTACATTAGCTGGGCAAGGGCACGACAGAGAACAAGTGATAGCTACAGCACACCTGCATGTATGGAAGTGTGTATTCCCCAGTATTTTAAGTCATGCCTAAATTTTATTAGACAATCAGAGCAAGCTAGATAACCTGCTCCAGTCCATACATCAGCCTGGAGAGCATGCCAGCCTCCACTATGGTGTGATAGTCACAGTTCAAGTCACACCTGAAAGCACACATCAGCTGTGTTTACACCTGGGAGCTTGTGCTGCAGGATAAAGAAGCCAAATCATAAGTCAAATATGAAGATCTTCACTTTTAAAGTTCAACTAATTCCTACACCACTATTTTGTCAGCACAGCCAGGTGATGCTCCTGGGCTCTGGGCTTGTAATTTGGGCTACATTACACCAGTTTATACCAGTTCTTTTTGGTTTCTGGATGATACAGACCAATGTAAATTAAAATACTGCTTTGTTGCTTCCTGGATCCTTTTTATCTTTTAAGGAAACTGTTGTTAATATTAAGCAAAGGTTTAAAGAAATTAAAGAGCACTACTTAAGTAGCAAAATAGTGACTGCTAGGAACAACAGACTAAACCAGGGTTTTTAAAATCTTGACATCCTATAGCCCAAGAAATAAAAACCTTTAAACTGGACCAAAAAGGATAAACAATACTAGCACCCTAGCATTTTTAACTCAAAGATGCAATAACTAACAAAGAAGCATACACCCTGGTGCAGTGAGGAGGGAAAACCCTATATTTCCCATATGTGACAATATCATTATATTTACTACTGTTTCAGTAGTAAGTCTCTTCTAGAAGGCTGACCAACAAAACCAGAAAAAATAAGAATTGAAAAAACAGGTGTTTTTCCTTCAATTTTTGCTAACAATTCATATAAAACTACTTTTTAGATCTGTCACTACTAACTGCTGGCTGAACACTAAAGTAGAGCTTTCAATGCTATATTGAATTACATAAAGCAGTGCTTGCAGCTGCCAAAATAATTAGAACACATTCAAGTTTTACACTCAAGGTATTTCAGCATAACTGCTCATTTATCTGTATAATATGTAGCTGATGGAATAAAAATTAAATTATCTTTTCAAGTTGTTTTAGCTATCCAAGTGACTAGAAAAAAAATATTTATTACTTTACCCTTGGCTCGTTCTGCACTTTGCAAGGTAAGCATTTCCTTGCCCAGCCTGCCCAGACCCTGTGCCAGCAGCATCTATGTGAAGCCAGTGCTCACACAACCCTGGATGAATAAGCAATTCCAAGTGAGGGAAGCAGGCAGCCCTCACAGTGCTGGGAGAGGCTCTCCTGGGGCTTATCCTGGAGGTGCCGTCCACATCTCCTAGCTGCTCAGGAGAGAGACTCACATTTCCTCACGCACAAATCCGCCAGCCCATCCCAATCTGCTGAATGCCCTCAGCCTTCTGCACGCACCTAACAGCTTCTGGCTGCTCGACGCAGACAGCCTGCAGCCCCCGCACACTTCATGCCTGCGTAGCCTTGATTCATTTTTCATTGGATTTCTCCTGCTTCCTCTACAGCAATTTGTTTTGTTCAAATGGCAGACGGTGCCTGCAATTACTGCTTCATTTCCATTAAGAATGACAGTAGGAGCCAGCACTTAATCTCATGTCCAGCTATCTCGCTCCCTCAGCCCAATGACAGTATCGGAAGAGACCAAAACAGGCAACACTAATGACAGCAGTCTAAGAGATGTTCTTTTAAAACACTCCAAAGATCTCTAAAGCAACTGGCCATATTACTTGACTATTTAGGCATCCCCCAAGATTTTTCTGTTTTATAATCATACAATATCACAGCAAGAAAGCTAAAAAAAAAAATCAAAAAGGGCTTTACCAGTGAACTGACATACACTGGGTCCTTTGAAAGATGATGCAACGACAAATGATTTTTGCAGTGGTGCAGCCGTTTAGACAAACTTCACTCCTCTCACGAGTACTTGCTTCATACTGCAAACACCAGCTCTCAGGACAGAGCAGCAGCTCTTGACAGGTTACAGCACTGTGGGCAAGGCCAGTTTCCACCCCCTAACACTGAGGAGAACTGGCTCTTCTCAAGTCTGTCACAGCAAGGATTGTTGGTAACTCTAATGAACAGTGTTGTAGCTGGAGCACAGGAGTTCAGCAACCATTTCCAACTGCTTGCAAGGGCCACCAGACTGGATTTGGCCTCACAGGTACTCTAGAGACCACCTATGTTTTGAATTAAAAAATAAAGTAGTAAACAGAAAGGGAAAGGAAATAGTGTGTTTACCGTCCTTTGCTAACAGTCTTAAATGAAATCATGCTATTACTGAAATATTTAAGTCTCCAAATTGATAGGCAGCATCCATAAATCAGCACAAGATCCCCTGTTGGTATTCCAAAGTTGCAGCAGGAAGAGGGTAATTGGTTAGGAACGTGTAATGAATCCAGCGTGCAGGACACCACGAACTTCTGCTTCAAGTTGAGAGGTCAGAAGGTGGAACCAACTCGATGATTTGATATCACTGCTAATCACAAGATGACTACACAACAGCTTGGCAATCGTGATAAAGACAGGTCCTATTGTAGCATTTCTTCCTGGAAGCAGTAGTAACTTTTTACATAACACTGTGAGACTCCATTCAAAACCACCACTACTGTTGCCCACATTCCAGAAACATGGGCAAACTAAAGGACATGAAAGATGATCAGAAAAATGGCAAAACTGTTTTAGAGGAGTCTGTAAGAGCCTGTAAGACTTCAGTGCCCAAAGGAGTGCTAAGAATGAAAGGACTGCTGTCTACAGATGTGTCAGAAGTACCAGAAAAGAAGAAAAAACTAGCAAAAGCACAACCACAACTGGATATGAACTATCCATGTAGAAAGCCAGAGCAGAAGTTGAAAGACAAGCTAATTCTGAGGTTTGTATTGGAAGATTGCTGCAGATATTCATTTAGACAGGAAGAAGCTAACCAGCTTAAAGGTTGAAATGTGAACTGTTTCAAAAGTCTTGCAGACAATATATCCATTCAAACAGCTTGAGTTTTTGCTTTCTAGCTCAAGCCTCCTAAAATGGAGTACGCTGCTTGATATTTTCTCCCCATTTACCTGCTTTGTTGTCTCATCTCCAATGCAAAGCAACTCACAGCCTATGGAGTAATAACCTTGTGGATCTAACTACTAAAACTGATGTTTTTTCAATGGCTTCTGTAGGAGTCTGCTGTTCCCCTCCTTCCCCTCCAGTTTCCCAAGTACTACTGTCTTTCTGCTCCTTCCAAGCAGAGGCTACCCTGCACTCTGAGATAGATCCCTGAAGATGCAGATCAGCTGACGGTGCAATCTCTAAGAGATGTGGAAAGGAAAAACACTGAAGACATTTATGTGGAGTCTGAAGTACACCTACACAGAGCTGTATTAAGACAACAGTATTCAAGAACATCAGAAGCAAGCCTCATCCAACCAGTTTGGGGAATGCGGCTGGTGATACAAGTCAATCACAAACAGCACCCAGAGAGGAACAGGTTCTGTAGCAAGACAGGCAGTTGGGGAACATCTAAACAAATTTAAGATATTACCACTCTTTTCTGGAAGTAAATCATCACAAGGCAATGCCGTTTCAACACATCTGATTTATGCCCTGAATCCGATTCTGCGTTATCCCATTCATTTCACCCTGGAGTGTGCCTGCTTGCACAACGCCCGAGCCCAGCCCCGTGCCAGCCGTACACCTGCAGCACCCCAAAGCGCTCCGGCACAGCGTGTGCCAGCATCCACCCTTCCTACATGGTGCAGCAGGGCTGCTGCCACCTTTACCCTCGGAGGGTGTTACGAGCAGGCAGTGCTTGAAATAGCCAGGGGTCACGTCTGATTCAAAGAGCCGATTCATGGATGATATGAGAAGTGGCAGCAGGAAATGAAGGAAGGATGGAAATCACAGACAAAGGTGACCCCGGCCACGCATTTCCAACTGCAACTGCTGCGAGCAAGCCCCGAGAGCCTGGTGCTACCCAAAACGGGTGCCTGAACTCCAGGAGAAGCCTGCTGGGGGGCGGCATCCGCAGACGGCACTCATACAAAGGGAGGCGTGCTGAGCTGAGCAGCCGGGGGAGCCGCCGAAACCACGGAAAAACCAGACCGACTGCAAGCGCGAGCAGCGCTTCTGCCGGGCAGCCTCCTCCTTATAAAGCAAGGCAGATGCTGGTAGCTCGCAGAAGCCGGGCAGGGCGATCGGGGGCCGTGTCTGTGCCCCACACACACCAGCACGGAGCGGCCCCCGGCCCCCGCTGCCCCCCGTTGCCGCCGCCGGCTCGGTGCCTCCCGGCGCGGCCTCTCCCCGCCGAACACGCGAGAAATTGGCCACGCGGAGCGCGCCGGCCTCTCCCGGCCGATAGATAAAGGGGAAAACCCCAACCCACAGCCCCCGCGGGTTCCGAAACCCTACAAAATAAAGGGGCGCAGCCAGCAGCCAGCCGCACGCCCGCAGCCGGTGCCCCCGCGCCTTGTGCAACGCGGCCGCCGGGCGAGCGCGCAGAGAGCGGCCGGGCCCGTGACCTTGGCGGGGCTCCGGGGGGGCCCAAAACCCCCCCCCGGTCACCGCACGGGGCCGGTTCCCCCTCCCCAGCCCCCTCCCACCGCCGGCGGGGCCGCGCACAAAGGAGGCGCCGCCGCCGCCCCGCGCACGTGTGCCCGCGCCCCGGAGCGGTGGGCGGCGGCCCCCGGCCCCCGGTCCTCGCCCCCCCCCCCTCCCCCCGGTGCCCCCCACGTGCGGGCTCACCTCGTCCTCCCGCTCGCTGCGGAAGCAGAGGCACGCCGCCCGCTTCTTGTAGCCCTCCCGGTCGTACGTGCGCGTCTGGTTCGGCTTCAGTTTCATCATAGAGCCGCTCCGCCGCCGGCAGCCCCCGGCCGCCGCCACGGCTCACTCCGACCGAGCGCCGCCGCCGCCGCCGCGCCCCCCCCGCTGGGCGCTGGGGCGGGAGGGAAGGAGGGAGGGAGGGAGGTTGGGAGGGAAGCCGAGAGGCAGAGCGAGGGCCGGGCCCGGCCGCCGAGCGCCTGTCACAGCCGCGCCGCGCCGCTGCCACCGCCCCCGGAGCCGCGCCGCGCCATGGAGCCCCCCGAGCCGCCGCCCCGCCCGGCCGCGATCGCCGCGGCGGCCGGCCCAGCGCCCACTATTTAACCCCAACGCGCATTCCTGCGCCCGCCGCGCCGCCACGCTCCGCGCAGGCGCCGGGCGGGGCGGGGGGGAACCGGGGGAGGGCGGTGGTGGCGGCGGCGGGTGGGGCCCCGGCGCTCTGGGGGTGCCGGCGGTGGGCGGGGGCTGCGCCGCTGCGAGGGCCGGGGGAGGCGGGCAGCGGGCCCCGCCGGGAGGGGGAGGCTCCGGTGTTAGCTCCTGACGGGCATGGGGACCCGCAACGCCCAGCACGGGGCACAACGGGGGAAGCTCCGCGCCTCAGGGTGGCAGGTGGCCGCCGGTAGCCTGCCCTTGGGCACTTCTGCCGGCAGACATCCCCCGTTCACAACGTTGCATAAGCGTTCCCCTTAATCCGAGTCCTACCTGATGTTAACAGTATGCAAAGAAAGGCCTGATGCTTTCGGAGTGGACCACTTGCTTGAAAAAGTCTGTCCTCCCTGCACCAGAACACACCTGCTTTTTCATCCTTACATATATATATATGTATATATATATATGTACTTAAATCCTGTTGATACGTAACAGGTCAGACCCGTATATATGTATGTGTTTTCTGGCATGCCATAAAGGGCCGTGGTTCATCATCGCTGCCTATTCCGCTTGTTAGGAAAATTTGCAGCTTTTGTTCTTCAGAGTGCAAGCCACGTGCAATGACTGTGCAGTACGACGCTTGAAAACCAAGGAAGATAAAAGCGGGAAAACACAATTTTATCGAATTTTTGTGTTAAAGGTGTAAGCTGTAAGCTCAAACACACAAAGATTAAGAAACTCCAATTTTAGTTTGCTTTACCCATTATTTTACTTCTACAAATGTGTTTTATTCTTGAAGGCACCTAGCAAACGGTCTGGCAGATTGGCTCTTTTCCTTCTCATTCAGTCAGATCCGAGTCTCATTTATTGCCATGTGTCATCAGTCAGACCTTAGGCTACATACAGTCTTAGCAGTTATTGAATGGTTCTCTAACCATAATATATATGTATACACACATACATACATCCATACATCTATATGTAAGGTAAGGAAAAACATATCCTATCAGTATCTGAAATTGTTAGTTCAAAAATTAAAGGTTTGAGGTCTGAAACATTAGAGAATGCTGAAGAACAGATTAAAAAACCATGTTTTTGATGCTTGTATTCATCAACTTGTCCATGATGCAGAAAACAGTCTGGTATGGTGTAATTACACTCAAGGGCTACAAATTAATAGTCTCTGTACCAATATTTCTTAGATTTCACCTCACAGCCTACATCTGTACAATCAACATAAACATGTATTACAGTAACACGTGTAGTTTAAAAAAAAAAAAGAATATTGCAATTAGTCTGCTTTTCAAAAAAGACCATTGTCATACAACTCGTTTACTTTGGGATGTTCTTTGAGCTGCTGTTTCAGGGTTTACCTTTTATGACAAACACGTTTTAAGCCTTTGCTATGGTTCTTGAATTACCTTTTTTTTTTTTTGTTTGGGAGGTTTTACCTCCCAACGCGATTGGAGGAAGTTCAAAACTAGGATTTATACATAACGAGAGCAGTGTCCAAAGATCACATGAGCTCAGGCCAAATTTTCCACTTTTGTACAACTCACCCCACCCACCCCCAAAAAACAAACAAAACATTTGACTGCCAAATCAGAACACAACATACAAATCCTCTCTCCGTTGTGAAACTCTGTGGTTCTTCGTCACGTATCACAGAGGTAAGAGCTGGAAGAGAGAGCTCTGCAAGATGGGCCAGTCAATAAGAAATGTAGGCTGTCCGTAGTTACCTTTTCTCATCCAGGTATCATCAAACAGTAACAGCTCCAATGATCTGTAAGTTTGCTGGGGCTCTTGTTGTTTTTCTAGAAGCCTTAACTTTTACCTACATGTAATGAGGCTTTTATTTTACATCAGAGGTTAGGGAAAAAAAAAAAAAAAGCAAAACAACCCTTTGTGAATACAGACAAAGAAAATAATGACAGATGAATCTATGAAGTGAAGCAGTAGGTTGTTTTAGTTTTTAGACCTTGAGGGATTGTTTTGAGAGGTGCTTTTTTATGAACAAAACAACAGCAACAACTTGTTTTGTTGAGGGATTTCTTGAAACAGCAAAAATCCCATGGCTTGCTGTAGCTGAGCAAACCAAGCTACCAGGGCAACTATGAGAAGTTCCCATGACAGTGTTCCCACATCGCCCAATTGAGGAACTCAGAAAAATATTGTTACCAGTAGCTGGCTTCAAGGACAAGGTCTATGTGACTGCTAATCACAAGGGGTTGTTTTCTTGCAGGTGGGGTTGTTTTCTTGCAGTTGTTTGTCTGAGTGCTTTTGACCAATAATCTTGTGTGAAACACTGTCCACCCCTGTTAAGTTCTGTATAAAAGTTAGGCTATTCGGGCAATAAAATGGATGGAGCATGATCTGACTCTACTGGTGTCTGTCGTGCTTTCGGCCGTGCTTCCTGCAACATTGTTTTAGAAAGGTTGAGATTCATTGGGCTAGGAATTAAATACCTGAAACTAGTTTTTCTTTGGCCTTGTGATTCTTCAGTGGACCCCAGTTTTGGAATCTGCAAAAGGCTTGAATCTTCAAGTTTTTGTATGTATTTTTTTGTTTTTAATTCTTCGATCCTCTTGTAAGTTTTAGACTGCTATCTAGACACAGCAGTTAGCAACAGCAGTTTGTGGAAACAGTTAAATCATCAGTAAATAATTAACATTTACAATGCTATCACATTCATATTAGCAGTAGTTCTGCAATGATGCATTGCCTCATGTTTAGCTTATGCAGTCTATGAATACTAGGTATCGAGTTATGATTGTATAGGATATTACCTAAAGGAACTGCTGCAGTGGTGTACCAAAGGTCAGTTCTGTTCAGAGGTGGCTCTTTTATGTGAAGAGTGCCCCTGGAATTTCCACGATAGCAATGGTAATTGTGAAATAACTGATGATACCTTGAGTACAAGTGTGAACCACAGCTGAGAAAGCCATGCAAGATGCAGAGACGCTGTTAAAGGAAGTTCAAAAGCCTCTACGTTCAGACAAAAATAACTCTCCGCCTCACTGTAGTTACACTTTAAGTGAAGTCTGCTTAAATGCAAGGGAACGATTTTCTTTTCCTTGAGAAGAAAGAAACAGGTTTAAAAATTTACAGAGTAATTAGATTTTCCAGTTCCCTTGACCTACATTTATTGCCCAGATTAGAAACGGCAGCGTTCAATAACTTATGTTCTGGCAAGTTTTATGTAACTTTTTTTCCACTCTTGGTTTATTATGGTTAATAAAAATGAAATATTTGATGGAACTTTCAGTTCTCTACTTAACATTTAGTCAGGAGAGAAACATACACTTATTATTTTTTTTTCTCATGTCCGCAAATAGCACATCAAATCAATTATATGAAGGAAACTCGTGCCTTTAGTTATCGTTTTGGACGATCATTTGTTCTGTCAGGGTTATAACATTTCTTTGCTATACAGCAGTTAAGCCAGCACAAAAATCCAAAAGTTCAGGAGCGAACAGTGTATTTAGAGAGCATCCCTCCAGTGCTGCATTGTGTGGCTTTTTGGAACAGTAAATCCTCATTCAGCTGCATTGTAGCCCAGTGAAAGGCTGCCTGCAGCTCTAGGCCCAGTCATCGTGTCAGCAGAGCTTACAATAGCGTTGAGGCTGGTGAGGTTAACCCGGCAGCCATACAGATTAGCATCTTTCCAAAAACCAGAAAAAAACCTTACACGTGTTTGAATATATATATGAAGGAGAAGAGAAGTGTTCATTGGTTTATTTCTCATTTGAGGTGATACAACAGAAGGGAATGCTCTGAGATTTCGTGCTGCTCTGTTGGTAGCTATGAGGAAGCAAATGAGAGCAGTGCCAGGCTAACTTCCCTGCAAAAAGAAAATGTCATATTTCTAATGATTTAGCAGTTACAAAGATGCTAGCATTAATCTTAAAATACTTTTAAGTGGCAAAAGCTTGCCAAACTGAATACACACTCTCTTCTGGTACACACTGAGCAGAAAGAACTAACTTTCAAAAACGGAACACGCTTCTCAATCACGCTTCTGCAAAAAGCAGTTTTTTCAGTATGCCCCAGTGTCTTTTCCCTTAGAGGCAGGTCTTCACCTGCATTTGCTGTAAAATGAACTTTAAAGAGAAAAGGCAAACATGCTCACCAAAGGGTTGCATTCCCAATCCACAGGGCTCCCCTCTTTTCAGGTGAATCTACAGCACTGCTACAGCTGCCAACAAATATCTTCCTTAGGTTGTTCTCGTCAAACAAATTGCATGAGCTATATGCAATTATACTGTCTGCCAATCCAGCTTGATAATCATGCCTTTTATGAAAAAGTAGAGCTAGTGTTGCTTTGATGCCTGGGAGGAGCGACCCACAAGCACGTTTGCTTTCATATGTTAAGAGTACTGTACGCTTTTGTGCGTATTTCATGGGCTCAGGAAAGGTGGATTGTCATTGGTTTGGATTTGCTTAAAATTGAGCTTCTTTTAGCAAAACATAAAATGTAGTA